ACTAAGGAAATAATGATTAATATATAGATTGTGATCTGACATTAAAATGATACCCAACACAAAAACTTGGTCCAAAAAGTGTTACTGCTCATACTGACGAATACTCGCAATGTATTTTGATCTTCTCGGCAAGGCTGCTACTGTGCAGTCTTTTGACTGGGGTGTGCTGTCTCTGGTCCCGGAGCTCGCTAGTTCAGGCAGTGCCAGAGCTGCGAAGCCCTCATGCTGATGTAGTGGCAGCCTGCTAACTAGGCAGCTGACCACCTGATGGTACTTCGTCCTGGGGTTAGGTGCTCCTCAGGTGTGATGCAGCTGGGGAGGTAGCTCTGCCAGCCATCCAGGAATGAATTGCTGGAAGAGGAGGTGCCATTCTGTATCCATCCGGCTGAAGCGTCCAGAAGTCACTGCCTGCTTCTGGCCAGGATGGAGCCTCCTTTGGCTCTGTTCACCCTGCTGGAAACCCCCTCTTGGAGGTAGAGATCACACCTGGTTTTAGTGGCAGAGACACTGTACCACTTCAGAATACTGTCTGTACTGCTTGCTTCCCAAAGTACCAAACCCAGGGTTTTCAATTCAACTTCCAGGTGATTTCCATAATCACGAAGAAATATGTACATATATAGAGTTGTTCTCTGCTTTTCTTTTGTGTGAGGTGCATCTAGCTCAGATGTACACAGACATCTGAGGAATCCCAATTCTGAACTTTCGTTTGGATGAAGATCTTGAAAAGTTTGTTATTTCTTGAACACCATATGTGCAGAGGAAGCCTTATGCATCCCAGGCAGAACAAATGTAGTATATGCATCATCAGGTATTTTGGGGATCCAGTGGCAGCTATACAGTTGTCTGAGAATGTTGGTGATTCCTATGGAGGCATTCCTTCAAGGATATACTCTGGACCATTCATGTATTTATCAATAAATCACAAAATTCATGAGTATGTTTACTGAGTATTGTTTAATGAGTGTATGTTTTAATTAATAAACTTAAGTTTCCTCTAAATTGTCAAACATGATGTTTCCTGGAGATCACAGTCCTTTCAACCTGCCTGCATTTCAATGTTGTTTGTATGTTGTTCATTTTAGCTATGGCCATTATGAATAATCATCTCAAATTAATGCCATACCCAAGCTATTTCAGTATGCGTTTATTTAGAATATTGTTCTTCATGATAAAGTTCTTGGATCCATCCGTTCAGTCCGCCTGGGCAGAATAAAATCTTCAGGGAGTTCAGAGCTGGGAAGCAATCTCAGTCAACTTTCTGCTCCTTTAAAGACTACTGATTCAACCAGATCTCCCACCTTCAAAACTTCAGTGAGAAAAATCCTTTATGGCATTTTAAGTGGATAACTGATAGTTCTACTTATTAATTCTGTGTTTGTTTCCTAGCTGGATGCCAGGACGATGTTTAATTTTGGGGAAGTGACCCCTCAGCTCTGTTATCTGACTGAATTCTCCTCCCTTTCCAGCTGTCTTCACTAAAAAAGCTAGGAGTAGAAAAGATTTGCAGATGTTAGGCACAGCACTCAGCAATAACCTCTCTGAATGAAATGAGACGGCCTTTCTTCACAGCTCCTTTCCTCTGCTCCCTCCTTTCTGACAGTACTGTTGCATTTTAATCATCCCTGTTCTGGTCTCAGACTGATGACACCTTCCAGGAAATCAGTTTTGGGGTACCAGGCTATTGTGCTTTTAGAGAAGCCCATAAACCCCCCTTTCTGGGGGCCGTATGATGCATTCAGATTAATCAACCAACAGTGTCTGAACAATTCATAGAAAAACTTTATGGAGACCTGATGCTATTCAGAGCCACCAGAACGCTCAATTTATACTCCTGGCTACTGCTAGATACGACATAAAAGAACCATAAGTCGAAACAGTCTGTAGCATCTGTAGAGGAACAATTCTGTTTCATTCCTAAGTTCATCAACGTGTAAAATCACATGAATGAAGTTTTCCATTATCTGCATCTGACTGAAGTGTCCCAGCCTGCTCCTCACACTTTCCTGATCTCCAGGAAATATGAAAATACTGAAGGTTCTAAAGCAGGCATGTTCATTATTTATCAGGAGTGGGTTGTATCTTCAGATGCCCAGTTCTGTCCCCTGATGCTGCCCAATCCATTATATCTGCCTTTGCCCATTCTGTTCTAAAATGTAGAGATTCAGACGATTTATTTTTTCTTCTTGTTTCGTGAAAGATTTTTTACATGTTTTCTACCCTTCCTGTAAGTCTATTCTTGTCCTGCAAACGGAGCGAGCATAAACTTCATGGGAGACTACTGCCTTTTGCACCCTTATTTTGCTCTTACATATACATATGCCATCTCGAGGCTGCAAAGCCTTGTTCATGCTGACCTTTATCATTTTTTGTTTGCTTTTACAGAGTGTTTGTAAGAGTTCATCATAACTGTTTATAGCAGTCCTAAACTCTCTATTAAATAAAATTTCAACAAGTGACTGTCCTAGTTTCAAGGTTGCTTCTTAGTGGGGAGTCTGAATTCAATTGCCTTTTTAGACATTCTTTATCAATTTTGATAGTTTTCTCCTGACCATTACATCTTTACTACCTTAGATTAAAACAGATCTGTTTAAAATTATATTATTCTTTAAAATGTTTAAACACATATTAATCAAACTGTCGTTACCGCAGTTGGTATTTCATACCAAAAAATATTAAATTTTTTTGGATATTGCATGTTCAACATTTGCATTCCCTAACAGAGCCGTTTCTGGAAAATGGGAATAATATCCAAAAACAATACGTAATTTTATTCCAGCATACACAAACAAATCCATGCCAACATTGAATCATAGATTTAACTGTTTTGTTTCACAATTTCTGATATTTTTATGCATTTAATTTATTACCTTTTATTCTGTTTTTGCCCTCATTTGACCTCCGTGTCATGCAGTGCTCTGATTTTTTTGGATTTTTCCATGCCTTTGTACTATTCAGGTATGCACTTTGTTGAGTCAGTTTTTACATTTTAGGAATAACCAGTTGAGCACTTCAAATAAAATTTTAGCTAAATTCAAGTTGTCATTCAGAGCTGGTGCAGCGATTAGATATATCTTGTACAGGGCAGGCAATATGAATAGGCTTGTTTGTTGTTCGGGTTTTGGTTTTTTTTTTTTTTGTATTGTGGCCTCTACAGCAACAGTGCATTAAGGCTGTGTTTCGGAAAGCTTCTTGAGCGTGTTTATATGTACGTCATTAGACTCTGGTACTTGTTCTACCTTTGCTGAAAGCTCTGTACCTGTTATCTGTTCCTACTCTTTTCTATTCTTACATGTGGTTGAGCCTCCATCCCTGGAGGTATTTAAAGGACGGGTAGAGGTGGTGCTTCAGGACATGGTTTAGTGGTGGACTTGGCAGTGCTAGGTTAACGATTGGACTCGATGATCTTAAGGGTCTTTTCCAACCTTAACGATTCTATGATTCTATGTTAGTTATAAAAACATACAGTAATTACTGAAATAGTAGTTAACCTGTTTTCTTTCGATTGTCACTAGACTTGAAGCAGGTTTCTTCCAGCTCTTGCTTTCCATACGCAAGCTGTTCGATGAGGGCTAGAGCAGGTGGAACGCTGTTTATTAACGGATCCCTTGTCCCCTGATCCTCACGTCCCATTAGAGCAGCCCATCCCTGTGGTATGCACTGCTGAGGATGTCCTCGCTGCATGAAAGACAGAATAATTTTATAACCTCGTTTCTTTAGTCTTAAAAATGGGATTTTTTTGTACACATGTATACGTTGCTTATATTGGAGCTATAGCTTGTCTTCTCATCTGCACATTTGTGATTTGTTGTTCCTGATTGCTTTGGGCATCAGAAAGATTAAACAGTAACTTAGATTTTTCATATTCTTTGACTGTTCTCCCTCAGGAGTGAGAGGCTCAGAACACTGTGTCTATATAGACGTGCATAAATGGAAACTATATATTTTTAGTGGATTTTTTTCCTGATAGTACTAATGCGTTTATATTTTATTTCTCATGCTTGGTTATTTAAATAGAAGTCTACGCCCCCTGAGGGGTGAACTAATATTTTCTAATTTTTATAAGCCTCTTCTCACACTGGTATTGTCTGTAAACACTTGAATCCTTCAGGACTAAAGAATGGAACTCAGTGTCAGTAAACAAATCACGTTTATTGCTTCCTAAGTGTTTACACAATGACAAAAATCAAGTCCCCCAGGGAATCATATTGTAAAAAGGAACAGTTGGTTTAAATTAGGTTTCCATGTGAAATATAGCTACTTTTTATGGATGTTGTGGGAACATAAACTGGAAAGAAAATCTGCACACTGATAAAATGAAGGTTTGGTTTTTATTTGTTTAAATACGAACAACATAATGTACTAAGTTAATTTCTGATTCTGGCATTAATTAATCACTGAACAGAAGTTGGTAGTATGGTCACACTTAGGAAGGTGGGGGGTTTTTTGTTTACTTCATTTGTGATCTTGCAAATAGATAATGTGAATTATTTTAAATGTTCAGTGCATATAGGAATTAGCAAATTTGTACATCAAATACAACTACCAGTTTTGTGAAATTAAAAAAAAAATTAATTCCAATTTATCAACTTTCACTGTCCATGTTGTAAGAACAAGGGTTATTCAGTGTGAGGCTGAGGTTTGTAAGCTGTGTTAATCAGAATTTACACTGCAGATCTCTCTGGCAGCTTTAGAAATCAGCACTACCTTAAGCTGTCCGTTTTCTTCCGTGGCCTGAATGCATATTCAGAATATCTTGTATTAAGATACAGTACTTTTTTGTTTAATGTAAGTATTTCTAGAGTAGTTAACGATTTAACTGTTGTAATGAGAGTATGTCTGTGTGTAAGGTGTGATTGCAATGCATATGTGATTTGGTCGTGAGTGTATAAGTAGAACTTTTAATGATACCCTCCTGACAGAAGGAAACCAAAAAACCCTACATTATCCGTCAAGTGACATTGCTTTGGCTGACTGTACTGTCTGTTTTATTTTACAAGGTGAGCTCATGGGTTACCTGGCTGGTCCTGACTGCAGGTTCTATGGAGGAGAAACGAGAAGTCTTCTCATATTTAGTACATGTGGCAAAATGCTGCTGGAATATGGGCAACTACAATGCTGTAATGGAATTTCTGGCAGGGCTAAGGTACTGGCAACTCTTTTTTTAAATGGCTTTTCGGTGATAGATTACACTGCAGCTTCCGTTAAGCAGATGTCTCTGGAGAACAATGGGCTAAACAGAAATCCATGGCTAAATCACATCATCTCACCCTGTGACTTTCTAGTAATCCCTTTTGGAAAGATGAAGCATGCTAAAAGCTGTTTTTTTCAAAATGCTTTGGAGACACCATTGATTTTCCTGGTACATACTAAATATGTTACATTAGAAAACATACTTTTTTTTAAACAGAAATTTTTAAAATGTGAAAAGAAGGTGGGAAAGCAGTTGTGGTTTATCCGTAATCAACTAAAACTACTGTAACTTGAGGCTGGAGTTTCCAGAACACAAGTGAAGCATAATTGTGGTAACGTTCTAAAAGAGTCAGTCTTAAATTGTTAAAACAAACAAACAAACAAAAAACCCCCAAAAACAAACAACAAACCCAAACCAACAAAAACCCCCAACAAAACAAAACAAAACAAAAACCAGTTAAACCTCTTTTTTTTTAACCCCTCCAATTTACTTGCGACTGATGCTGGGTTCTCATGCTGTCATGGTCACATATAGCCAGACCTGCAGTCTCTCCAGGAGAAAGACGGAGTGTGGGGTTAAAGACAGTTAGTTGCTAGCTCTCCTACAGAATTGCAGGTTCGAGCAGGGCCGGCTGAGCAGGACAGCAGTGCCTTTGCACAGGCAGTTCAGAGGGCAACAAATTGGACTGAACAGGGAAGAGTTAAGATCAAATTTCCCATCTCTTAGCTCTGACCCTCTTTGTATATCATGTTTGTGTAACAAAGCTTTAAAGTGTTTGTATTGTCACCCTTCGTGGTTTAGTAAGGATTCTCATTGAGCTATTTGCTTACATTTTCGGTATATAAAATCCATTTGAAACACTCATAGACATGGAGAGTCTTTTTGAGCAGAATGCATCCCCAGTCTGCAAGCCATGTAAGTTGTGAGGGGAAAATGCAAAGCAAATTAAGGGCTTAATTTTATCTCTAATGCATCTGCACA